ACAGGCTAGACCAGTCTCCTGTAGGGTTACCCAGTGACTCTAGGCTCCAGGCAATAGCCAACTCAATTCAGAGTCGCTGAAGTGAGGACTCTCTCCACCCACCCCTGGATGAGTGGCCTTCAAAATATGCTGTCCACATTCTCTGAAGGTTCACACACAAGGAGGGCAGAAATACACAGCTCTAATCTTCCAGCCCATATCCTGCTCCAACCAGTTTGTGGCCAAATCCCTGCTTCCTGACAGATGTCCAGAAGGATGCTATTATATGGACCACATGGTTGTCATAAAACCCATGGTCCTTTGTCCTAATTCCTGGGGCTTTCAAGAGTATTTTATTGTTCTTCCTGTATCTCATTAGTGCAGGAGGATGGGGCACTTGCCTCATCACAGATATGGGGGAGGGCCCCGATCTTACAAGGCTGAAAAAGTCAGATTTTAGCATTCGAGGTCTCCCCACATGTTCTCCTCATGGCAATCCTTTCCCAGACAAGCCTAGCTGGCAGCCCCTGTGCCCATCACCGCCACCTTTCCTGGCCATGTCCTCAGGCTATGCTGAGGCCAGGCCAGCAGGGGGCAGTGTGGACACACAAAGCAGGATCTCAATTCTACCGCTTCTCCCACAAAAAGCCACTTGGTTCTCTTGTTATGATGACCCCTGAGCTGAGGTCCTTGCCTTACTGACTTCAGATGGACTCCAGCATCCTCTTGGGGCTCGAGTAGGAGCCAAGGTTGCCCTGAGAGTGTCCTGGCCAGAATCTGCCTGCAATGTTCTCCCTATCCTTATTTATCAAGTTGGGGCTACCACAAATCAGCAAGCCGGAGCTGCACAGAGGAGGGCTGCTGGCAACTGAGGACCCAGAAAAGAGACAGGAGTCAACAACACTACCAGCCACTGACCTCTCGGACTTGTAATATAATGCTAGAAAAACAATTAGGAGTGTAGTGTAGTGTGTGTGTGTGTGTGTGTGTGTGTGTGTGTGTGTGTGTGTTACTAGGTAGCCTTGGCTGGCCTGGAACTTATTATGTAGACCAGGCTGGCCCCTGTTTCTGCCCCAGAGCTCTAGGATTAAAGGTACAAGCCACCACACCTCAGAAGTATAACTTGAAAAAAAAAATTACTCATTTCTCAGAGCTGGGGAGAGAGCTCGGTGGGTAAAGGCCCCATGTTCAGAAGATACAGTCCCGCCCTCTGAGGAAGTCACGTGCTCAGCAGGCAGATGCTCTAACAGGAATTCTCATACACAAAAAAATCACTAGGTATTTGTGGAAGCCAGCCGCACAGGAGGAGAGCATTTGTATTTGTCAAAACACGCAGATTTGGGAAATGTAAGCGGTCCTGGCCAGTTTTATGTCAACTTGACACAAAGTGGAGTCCTTTTAGAAGAGGGAACCTCAATTGAGAAAATGCCCCCACCAGTCTGGCCTGCAGGGAAGCCTATGGGCCATTTTCTTAACCAGTGGATGATGAGGGTGGTGGGTGGTGCCACCCACCCCTGGCTGGTGGCCCCGGGTGCTATAAGAAAGCAGGCTGATCAAACTGACCAAGCCATAGGAATATGAATCAAGACCTGAGTCAGGAAGTCCAGCACCCTAGATGGGTGTGGCAGTGCATTCCTGTAATCCCACAGCTGGGGGGAGGAGGGGGACAGGGGGAGCCAGGGGTGGGGGAAGGCACAGAAGGATCCCTGGAACTCGATGGCCAGCCAGGCTAGCTGAAACAGTACGTTCCAGGTTCAGTGAGGCCCCCTGCCTCAAAAAAATAAGGTGGTCAGCAATAGAGGAGGACACTCAACATCGACCTCTGACCTCTACATATGTATGCACGGGCAAGTACACATGCAAGTTAAATAAGTAGATAGGAAATGAAAATAGCTAGGCACGTGGCACATACCTTTAGTCCCAGCACTTGGGAGTTCGAGGCTAGGCTAGTCTACAAAATGAGTTCCAGGACAGCCAGGGCTACACAGAAAGACCCTGTCTCAAAAAAAAAAAAAAAAAAAAAAAAAAAAAAGAAGAGGGCTGGAGAGATGGCTCAGAGGTTAAGAGGCCCAAGTTCAATTCCCAGCAACCACATGGTGGCTCACAACCATCTATAATGAGATCTGGTGCCCTCTTCTGGCCTGCAAGCATACAGACAGACAGAACACTGTGTACATAATAAATAAATCCAAAAGAGAGAGAGAGGTGGGAATGGAGGGTGGGCTGGGGGTAAGGGGAGGGCGTGGGAGGGGGGAGAATAGGGGAACCCATGGCTGATATGTAGAACTGAATATTGTAAAATAAAAAATATATATCACACACAAAAGAGAGAGAGAGAGAGAGAGAGAAAGAAAGAAAGAAAGAAAGAAAGAAAGAAAGAAAGAAAGAAAGAAAGAAAGAAAGAAAGAAAGAAAGAAAGAAAGAAGAAAGAAAGAAAAAAGAAAAGAAAAATGAAGTCTTTTACTCAGCCAAATACTGGTTCCCTCAAAACTACTCCCTCTTTAGAAGAGTCGCCATCTTGGCCCCCCCACCTTGACAAATGCTGGTCCCAATTGTCATGCACCTGGCCTAACACCCCCTGGACATAATTGCAATGTTCTCATTCTTGAAATGCCTTCAGCTCCAGAGGGTCTGAAGAGGTCCCTCAGGGTTAGGGTTCCATACCAAAGTTCCATGTCAGATTTAGTTTGAAAAGAGCGCTTCAGCTTTTAAACTGCAGCTAAAAGAAATTTGGGGGAAGTCGTCCCTGGCCAGCCTTTCCCCTCCTGGCCGCAGTAACAATAATTTGCTGATTCCTCCTCCAGCTCATAAGTCCTGTGTAAAGACCATTGAGGTCCATGAACTGTTGACGGTGAATGCCACAAAGAGGGAAGCTTCTCGGGTAAAGAACTGCAAACCTTGGCATGGAAAGATGTAAATCAGTGCAGGTTTGGTGAGACAGACGGTCGTAGGGTAGAGGTTTGCCACACAACTTGACAATCTGAGTTCAATCCCCAGGACACATACGGTAAAGGAAGAGAATTGACAAGTTTTTCTCTAATCTCCACAGGCACACCACACCATAACACACAGACACACACACACAACACAACACACCATAATACACACACACCACACCATAACACATACACACACACCACACCACAATACACACACCACACCATAACATACACACACACAAATTTTAAAAAGGAGGACTAGAGAGATGGCTCAGGGGTTAAGAGCACTGGCTGCTCCTCCAGAGGTCCTGAGTTCAATTCCCAGCAACAACATGGTGGCTCACCACCATCTATAACAGGATATGATGCCCTCTTCTGTCATGCAGGTATACATGCAGAGCACTCATACATAAAATACAAATAAATAAATTTTTAATGTAAAAAAAAATTAATGAATTCATACAGTGGTAAATTTTATAATATCAACACAGGAGGCTGGGACAGGAGAATTGCCACAAGTAAAAGGCCAACGTGGGCTACAGAGTGAGATCCTGTCTTAAAAAAAAGAAAGAAGGAAAATAAGAGATGTATATTCATGTACTGTGTGTTCATATATATATATATAGGTTTTTTGAGACAGGGTTTCTCTGTGTAGTTTTAGTGCCTGTTCTGGATCTTGCTCTGTAGACCAGGCTGGCCTCGAACTCACTGACATCCACCTCGCTCTGCCTCCCGAGTGATGGGCATATGCCACTGCCATATATTTATAACAGCCTCACTGAAATATAAGAAAGAGAGCTTGTGGGTCAGAGAAATTCTCAAAGGTGTGAAAGCAGAAGGGATTGACCTCAGAATTCAGGAAACAGTTGAAGTCCCCCAATAGGTGCACAGCACTGGCACCCACCACCTGGTGTAGATCCACATAAGACCTGAGAAGGCTTTAAAAAGGTTCTAAACACACAGAAACCTCCACCTACATATGGGGCCCAAAATGGGGCCCAAACCCCCAACCCTGAGATTAAGAGTCTCATGCTATAGTAGCTACTAGCCAGCCAGCCACCCAAGAAGCAACATGCCAACAGACTGGTAATGCCACAGCCACGTGGCACTACATAGATGAATGGAAATGAATTAATTTAAGATGTAAGAGCTAGCTAATAAAAAGCCTGAGCCATCGACCAAACATTTATAAGTAATATTAAGCCTCCGAGTCAATTACTTGGGCAGCAGCTGCCAGGTATTTGGGAGTTGCTAGGGAGACAGAAACTTCTGTTTACACAGCACCAAGAATTCTTCATGTACCTAATGAAGCAGTGACCCCACAGGCAAGAGCTAATGACTCTTACTTACCTGGTGGTATGCAGGCAATCAACCAGGCCAGTCAGCTCTCACCTGAGGCCACCTCCACTGGCCAGACCACAGGAGGGAATGTCTGCTACCAGCTTGGAAAGCGGGAGCTCATCTTGGAAGAAGGAGCAATCAACACTTAGGAGCCCCATACCCCATGAGGCAATGCCAGCCAAAGAGGAAATCACGTGCCCAGCAAGCAGAGGAGGCTCTGACAGCAAGTCTTAGTTACAAAAAATGAGCGCACAAAATTCGCTGTGCACTTGTGGAAGCCAACTCCATAGGAGGAAAACATTTGTATTTGTCAAAACACACAGACTTGGGAAAAGGAAGCTGTGCCAACTTGTTTTATATCAACTTGACACAAACTAGAGTCTTTTTGGGAGAGGAAACCTCAGTTGAGAAAAGACCCCACCAGATTGGCCCGTGGGGCCCATTTTGATTGATGACGGATGTGGGAGGACCCAGCTCCCTGTGGGGGGTGGCCACCCTGGGCTGGTGGTCCTGGGTGCTATGAGAAAGTAGGCTGATCAAGTCACGAGCAAGCCGGTACGCTGCACTCCGCTATGCCCTTAGCTCCAGTTCCTGCCCTGAGTTCCTGCCCTGCCTCCCCTGGTTGACGGACTACAACCTGTTAAGATGAAATAAACCCTTTCCTCCCCAAGCTGCTTTGGGTCACTGTTTTATCCCAGCCATTGGAACCCTAAATGAGCCATAAGTTCATCGCGAAAGAGCTTGACACAAGACAAAGAATGACTTTATTTGTCTGTCGAGGACTAAGTGTTCAGAGAAGATAGGAATTTAAGTCAAACCCATCCAACAAGGCAAAGAGAGAGTCTAGTGAAGGGGGACCCACCCCGAGGACCACCCCTAAGATAGGTGGAGAGGAAGGGACACGACCTCCACCATGGAAAGATCCAAAGCTCTTAGCGCCTGGGTCACTCAGCAGCAGGTCGCCCCAAATGCAAGCTGCTCCCTCCCTGCAGTTCTGCGTGGGAAACCCCTTAACTGCCTACAGCTGCTGCGTTTGTCAAATCATTAGCGCGTCAAGCCCTCCTCCCCTTCTTCGTTTTACAGAACGTGAGTGGGCTTTCAACTCCGCCTTGCAGACCCTAAGTATCAAAGCGATTACAAAGGAAATCACGGAGAAGCCTAACTGGTCTTTGAAATCCAACTTCTCGCAAGGTCACTGCCCTATAACTGCAGAGGCGGGTGGGACCATAACTGCCTCACAAGTCTGCTGTTTAAAGGCATCCCCTCGCCTGGCGACCTTCTATGTCAGGTTGGGATGAGGTGCCCCTCAAGCTCTCCTAAACCTAGAGAAGTCTGGGGAACCCAGTCACCTCAGGCATTCCTGTTCCCAGCCTCGGGTTCAGGAGAGCTGAGGGAGGGCTAGGATGCTAACAGGTCACATGGCAGGGCGTCTCCTCACAAGGCTGTATTCTCAACTTCTACCCTGGGGCCAAAGAGCTGCTCAGCAACCACCTTGCCGTCATACTTGGGCAGCGTACCCCCAAAGTCAGCGGGCAAGATGCTCTCATCAATCTCCCGGAAGAAGTCATCCAGGTCATCTCCGTGAACAAAGACCTGAAGGAAAGTGAGCAGGACAACTGAGTGGGAGGAAGAGGCAGGAGGGAAGGACAGAGCCGCTGCGTGACGTCTTTGCCTGGAGATGTCTTTCTCAACAGTCCTCCATGCGGGGCTGTCGGGGTTGTCTACTCAACTTGGGACCAGTGTGCGGTATCCGGGAAGGCTCAGGAGGCAGCCGTGAACTTACCCTCTGTAGCAACTTGTTCTTCAAGAAGGGCTTGACCACGTTATAGGTGGTGGTGAAGTACCATGGCTGGTGGATGAAGTGGATAGCTTTGAACCTCGCTGGGAATGAATCCTGTAGTGACAGAGAGAGATCCCCCCAACCCATTGCCCTGGTGGTCTCAGAGGCTCCTACTTAGCAACACACACACACATGCTCTCACACACACATGCACAGACAGACACAGACACAACCTCTCCCCATGGAGTGAGGACTGACTTGTCCAACATCAATCACATGTTGCCCTGGAGGATAGCCCATGCCGGGGCCTGCCGCCAGGGAACCTTGACTTCACTTTGGCTCCAAGGTGTAGGGAGGAAACCCTGCAAGTTACACAACCTAAAGCCATCCCATGATGTAAAACAGAGACAGAAATGAAACCCTAGAAATAATTTAAAAAAAAAAAAGGATGAAGTAGTATGTTTGCTTATTTAATTATTTGGTGATTGTGTGTTTGGGGTGTGTGTGTGTTCCGTGTTTGTGTGTTGGTATTTGGTGTGTGTGTGTTGGTATTATTTGTTGGTTTTGTGAGACAGGGTCTAATGTGTCCAAAGCCGACCTTATGACATAGTTGAGTTACGACCTTGACCTTCCAATCTTTCCACCTCTTCCTTCTGAGCGCTAGAAGTACAGACATGGGCCACAGTGGCCAGTGCAGGCAATAGAACAGTATCCCCATCCGGGGGGGATTGAGGTTTTTTTCAAACCACTTGTCCACTGGGTAGACCACAAACCATTATCGACCATAAGGACATCCTTGTCATGCCTCTGCCCTTCAGGCACTGCCATACCCATACCCAACATCCCCTTTTCCAATACACGTCGGGCAAATATAAGGCAGCTCAAAGAGGAGCCTGGGGGCTATCTGTCTATGAAGGAATCAGAAGGGGCTAGAAATATCCTTTCCTTGGATAAACTCACAAGCAAAAAGAGGCAGCAGGATATACACGGCCAGACAGCCTAAGGTCCCAGGATCACTCATAGAGAGTCAACTCCAGCCTCTGCCACTTTATCTGTGTGTGACCTTGCAAAGTCACTTAACCTCTGAGCCTCAGTTTCCAGGTTTGTGAGATGAAGCCCAAGATACGGATGAGAACCCTCTCAAGGAGCCAATGAAATCATTCCCATGTCCTTAGCACACTCAATCACCATGCAAGTGTTTGTGGCTGGGATGACGGCTGTCACTGCTCTGTAGGACACTAGATTGCTCACCCCTCAGGTCCCTTCTGGCACCGGGAAACTGGGAAACCAGGCCAAGCCTCCCCAAGGTTCCTATGGGACAGGTTCCAAGGTCTCACCTGGAGCATGTCCACCATCTTCTTGAGATCCGAGGGGCGGAGCCCCGCTGCCTGCTGCATGGTGAAACCCTTAAAGTTCTCGACAATACAGAAGCCGTTGATTTGCGTTTCCTCATTCTCCAGCAGTTTCTCCAAAATGAAACAGTATGCCTGCAAGATCTAGAAACACAGAGGCTAGGTATGGGGCTCAGCCAGGAGGCCCCCGAGTTGATCTCCAGCATCAGAACGTGCCTGAAGCACAGGGAGCAGGGTTTAAGATCCACCCCACAGTGGTGATGAAAGCTTGGGGTCCTGAGTGGAGAGCCCCCGGCACATGCCTCACTGCAGGAATTTGCCGCAGATGTCCATCTAGGACCTCCCCCTCGCAGAAGACATGCCAATAAAATAACATTAAATGTCACGTTCACGATTAGAAGCCACAGAGTTTATCCCAGCACTCTTATGATGTTGGAAAGCACTAGAAACAGCCTGAGTGTCCAGTCAGAGAGGAGGGAAATGAAGGGGAATGTAAGCCATGGAACATCGCGGAGCGGTGAAAATGATGTAAACCATTAACAGTATGGGGAACTCTTCGCGACAGGGCACAGAAGAATCTCCTGTTGATTTTGTTATGCTTTGGTTTGTCTGTTGGTGCCAGAAATCAATGGTAGAGTCTTGGATGGGCTAGGCAAGCACTCTGCCACTGAGCTCTATCTCCAGCCCTTAGTTGTTTTGTTTTGTTTTGTTTTGTTTTGTTTTGTTAAGAGGGTCTCACTTTGTAGCTCAGCCTGGCCTTGAAAACTGTTTAGTCCAGGCTAGCTTTGAACAACAGCTCCTCCTACTGCAGTTCTGACCACCATTACCCTGCCTGTTGTTGTGATATCTGCCCTTCCCTGATCCTTCCTTCCTCCTTCCCTCCCCTCCTCTCTCTCGCTGTCTCTCTTCCTTCCTTCCTTCCTTCCTTCCTTCCTTCCTTCCTTTCCTTCCTTCCTTCCCCCTTCTCTTTTTCAGTACTGGGGATTGAACCCGGGGTATTGCAAATACTAAACTATATCACCATCTCTTTTTACTTTGAATTTTTAGGCAGTGTCTTACTAACTGACTTAGGCTGGCCTTGAACTCACTCTACAGCCCAGGCAGGCCTTAATTAAACTTGTAATCAGTCCTCTTTCTTCAGCCTCCCTAGTAGATGGGTTTGTAGGCCTGTGCCACCAAAAATGACTGATGATCCCACAGTTATAAGAAGTGTGTGTGTGTGTGTGTGTGTGTGTGTGTGTGTGTGTGTAAAATAAATTGGAAGAATATAGTGGTAAAAAAAACTAGGTAGCAGAATTATAGATGATTTTGTTTGCAATTTTTTGTATATTCTAAAAAGAATAGATACTATTAACATAATACAAAAAATGCATTTTTCTACATTTTTTTTCTTAAAAAAATATACCTTCAGTTGGAGCTAGAGAGACAGCTTTGTGATTAAGAAAACTTGCTGTCCTTACAGAGGACCTGAGTTGGATTTCAGTACCCACATCAGGTAGCTGGCTCATAACTGCCTGGAACTGTAACTCAAGCTCCAGGGGACCTGATGCCCCTGGCTTTCCCAGGAACTAGCATTCACATACACACACACACACACACACACACACACACACACACACACACACACAATTAAAAATAATATAAGAGCCAGATGGCGGTGGCACATGCCTTTAATCTCAGCACTCAGGAGGCAGAGTCAGGAGGATCTCTGTGAGTTCGAGGCCAGCCTGGTCTACAGATCAAGATCCAGGACAGGCACCAAAACTACACAGAGAAACCCTGTCTCAAAAAACAAAAACAAACAAACAATAAATGAATTAATGAATGAATGAATAAAAATAATATAAATCTTTCAGGTTGTGGTGGTGCACACCTCTAATCCTAGCTAGCACTCTGGAGGCAGAGTCAATTGGATCTTTGTGAGTTCAAGGCCAACCTGTTCTACATAGTGAGTTCCAGGACAGCCAGGACTATGTAGAGAGGCCTTTGTATATATATATACACACATTTTATTTTACTTGTTTCATTTGTTTGTTTGTTTATTATGTGACAGGGTTTGTCTATGTAGTTGGGATTAAAGGTGCACATCTCCACTACTGCCTGGCTCATTTTTACTCTTATTATCATTCATTTATGATGAAGATGTTGGTTCCACTGAAGCTGGAGTGACAGGAGACTGAGCTGCCGGACACGGGTACTGAGAACAGGACTCAGGTCCTCTCTGCAAAAGCAGCAAGTCCTCTAAACTGCTGAGCCATCTCTCCAACCCTCCTCCCCAAATAATATGTCTTTCTTTTTTAAAGTTTTAATTCTAAAGCTAGTGTCTTGCTTACCGAGAAGGCCTAGTAACACCCTTAATAAGAGCAGACATAAGGTAGGGATGCTGGCTGTTTCCATCACCATTGAACTAGAGCGAAGGGCTGGCCAGTGCAATCTAATTTCTTCTTAAAGTCTGGGGTCAAAAAAGTAGAAGAGGTGGGGGCTGGAGAGAAGGCTCAGCGGCTAAGAGCATTAGCAGCTCTTCCAGAGGTCCTGAGTTCAATTCCCAGCAACCACACGGTGGCTCACGGCTATCTATAATGAGATCCGATGCCCTCTTCTGGCACGCACGTGTATATGCAGATAGAGCACCAGATACATTAAATGAATAATAAATATAAATAAATAAATAAATAAATAAATAAATAAATAAATAAATAAATAAATAAATAAATGGAGGTGAACATTTTGGGGCTGGAGAGATGGCTCAATGGTTAAGAGCACTGGCTGCTCTTCCAGAGGTCCTGTAGTTCAATTCCCAGCAACCACATGGTAGCTCACAAACATCTATAACAAGATCTGGTGCCCTCTTCTGGCCTGCAGCATACATGCAGGCAAAACATTGTATACATAATAAATAAATTAATTAATTTTAAAAAGTAGAAAAGGTGAAGAAAACAGTCTCCTCTATTCACATATACTAGTATTCTTAGGAACACAGGTGAAGGCCGGGACTTAGCTCACTTGGTAGAGGACTTGTCTAGCATGTGTGCAATTCTGGGTTCGGTCCCCAGCACTGCATAAAACCAGGCATGTCGGCACATGCCTCTAACCCCTGCATGGCAAGAGAGCAGAAGTTTGAAGGCTATCCTTAACTACATAGTGAGTTCAAGGCCAGCCTGGGATGCCTGAGACTCTGTTTCAAAACAAACAAGAAAGGAGGAAAAATGAAAGAAAGAATAAGGAATAAAGAAAAATCCTTTGTTTTTTCCCTTCATCAGACTTCCTAAGGGCTTAGACCTGTGAACGTACCGTAAGCAGGTGTTGAGTAGGACAGAACCTGTACCTTCCAGAACCTTCCAGCCCACAGCCCTCTGATCCCCATCTCTCTGTTGCTCTCAGCTTTCAGTGTTTGGCAAGGTTTCCGTCAGCTCACGGCCCACAGCTGCTGCCTCCACTTGGCATCGCTGGGCATAACCAGGCCAGTGGGCTCCACTTGCAGAGCTGCTGGGCTTCCCAGCTGTCCTGGAACAGCCTAGGAATTCTCTCCCTGTTTGGAAAATGCCTGGAGGCAGGTGACCGCCTGCCCTTGTCCCTCCACGGACCTTGCCTCCTGGGGAACCCAACACTAAAGACAAGCGCTAGGACAGAGAGCCCAGCTGACCTCATCAAAGGTGACCTCTTCACAGTGCCAGTTTTCAATATTGAAGAGCATAACCACTCGGCCATACTTGTCCCGGCTGGAGAGGACACCAGGGTAACCCGCCTCGATAGTGCAGCGCACGGCCTCCATGGAGAGGCTATCGAACAGCTCAGGGTACTGGAGCCGGAAGTTCACATAGCCTGGAAGAGGAAGAGTCAAGCAGCCATCTCGGCAGCCTTTCCAGCCACGCTCACCCGCCTTCTCAGGTGGCACATGGTGAGAATCAGCGGCCTGGCTGCTGTCTGTCCGTAACAGGACTTCCAACTGTCTGTGTCCCGTGGTTCCCTTCCACAAGACTGGCCTGTCTCCCCCCGATGTTGTGGCAATTACACATGCTTCACAATGTCCCCGTTGTGAGCTGCGCAGACATGACGTACGGCCCTACTTAAGAAGGTAATCATATGTGCTACATTCCTTCCCTTGGGGACAAGGCACAGACTGTCAGCTGGGCACAGGGTCAGCTGGGTGGGTGGGTGGGTGGGCAGTGCTGAGGAAACCCAAGGCCCCAGCTAGACTCGGGGGCCCTTCCTAATTCTAGCAGCACCTACTTCGTCCACAAATGCCATTCTTACTTACCCTGAACAGGTCCCTGCCTTCATGTGGCCATCTGTACCCCCAACCTGGGGCCCAGGGGTTGGGTTTAGGGGGCAATTGCCAAGAAACTGCCAACAACTTCTCTGCTGTTCTGGAACACTCCAGCCTTATCCTACCTCACATTTACCTTGTTGTATCCTCTGCCCCGTTACTCAGATGCCTGGCTTCCTCGGGGTTTATATTTCAGGTGTCCCTCATTCAGAAATGAGTGGGAGCATTTCTAGAACCTTCACTTCCAGCTTCAGTCTTCTGTCCTTTACCTCTGTCACTCAAACTCTACCTATGTACTCTCTCTGTCAGGTTTCTTATTTCCACCAATAGAACGTAAGTTCCACAACGGCATGGGATGCTTGCGCTCCTTGACCTAAAACAGTGGGGGGCCCTGGCACTGACGACATTTGGGGACACAGGAGAAAGGTAAAAAGGGAAAGCCAGTAGGCTGCAGACCACCTGCTTCAACTCTCTATAGACACCAAAGACGATTTCTTCAGGAAATGTCTTCTCCACCCAGCAGGGCCATGGCAGTTCTGTCCCAGCTCCCCAGTCCCAAGGCAAGCACCATCTTTGGTTCCACTGGGGTTAAGGTTTAGTGCCAGGGCAGTGCATGGAGGAGGCACAGCTTCACCATCTGGAACATTCCAAAGCCAAAGGTGGAGCTACAAAGGAAACACCTTCCTTTGTTGTCTAAATGTGGTACCTGAATTCTACTCACTGAGTTCCAAGACTGACAGAGAAGAGAGTCTTCTAGGAATCTGTAATCTGTTCTTGACCATCTAATTTTGTCCAACCATCTATTCATTTATCCATCCATCCATCAACTAACAGAGCCCAAGTGATCCTGAGGACTGCTCAATTCACACATGCATGGGTGTGTGCATACCATACGCATGCATGCGCACGTGCATACACACACACACACACACACACACACACACACACAAAGGATATGGAAACAGTTGTGGGAGCCCGTTTTCAGGTTCCTCGTGGCTTTACCCAGCAGGTCCGAATAGAGGATGATCAGGACCACGGGCCTGAGTGCAGGTGTCTGAGATGGTCTGCACTTGGCTGTGCTGGGGGAGGAGGTCTTTGGCTCCACCCCTTGGCGTCTCTAAAAATACCCTGGGGCAGAGACAGTCAGGGCCCATTGGAAAAGGTTCCAAGCCCTCTGGAGGCGATTCCGTATTTTCTATCTGTTTATCTCCACAATCTAAATCCTTCTATCTAACATTTCCTGCTGCTCGCACTCAAGAAAACTCCGGGGAACTGTGGGGTTGGTGGGTAAACGCCCCACCGACGGTGACTACCTCATGGCATGAGGGAGTTTTCTTAGTGTGGAAAGGGTCGACACCCTCCTCAAAACTTCCTCCCAGCTAGCATGGCCAGTCCTCCAATGCAGGCCTTACCTTTGAGCAGCTCATAAGCGCGGCCCACGTTGAACTTGCGAGCTCGGATGAAGCGCAGGAGGAAGGCACTGTCCCTGGCCTGTACCCTCTCAGCCACCGCCAGGGCCAGCTCCTCCCCGGAAGCTGCCTGTGCCTGCACCAGCTCCTTTAGCTCCCTCACCGCCTCCTCCCGGGTCTCCTCCTTCTCATTCAGCTCATCCTTGGCCTGGAATGGGGGGTGGGGGTGGGGCAGAAGTTACGGATAGGTGCTGGTGAGGAACAGGGCATGTGAAAAGGCTCACATTTAAGTGGGCCTGCTGGGCGTGCCCAGGGTGCTGCAGTGTGGGTCTTACGCCTGTGCAGCTCTGCCCTCAAGGGCCAAGGAGTGGCATCCCGCTCTCCCATAGGCATCTGGAGAGAGTCAACGGGCTCAGCCTGGATTTGTTTGCCAGACATTGACAACAACAAGTGTTTCCAGCAAATGCCCGTGTGCTCTGTGCTCTTACCCCACACGCTGCTCAGTCCTGTAAATACATTGTGTGTGTGTTTTAATTGATTGAATTCATTCATTGTATACGTGAGTGTTTTGCCTGCACGCATGTCTGTGCACCATATGTGTGCTTGTGCCTGAGAAGGTCAGAAGAGGACATCAGGTCCCCTGGAACTGGAGTTATGAAGAGTTGGGAGCCACCACTGGGTGCCAGGCATCCAGTCAGGGTTCTCTGCAAGAGCAAAAATGCTCTTAATCACTGAGCCATCTTTCCATGCCTAAACTACTGTGTTTTTAATTTTTGCCACAACTCATTATGGGGCTTTGTTTTGTTTTTAATTATTGTTTTGTGTCTTTAATTGCCTTTTGCATTTATTTATTCTTACATGTGTACTTAGGGGGCGTGTGTGTGTGTGTGTGTGTGTGTGTGTGTGTGTGTGTGTGTTGTGACGTTCATGTGGAAGTCAGAGGACAACTTGCGGAAGTTGGTTCTCTCCTTTTACTATGTGGGTCCTTGGGATCAAACTCATTTGGTCAGGTTTGATGGCAAATGCCTTTTAGCCAATGAGCTACCTCACACAAGCCCTTATTTTTGTTTTGGCATTTTTTGTTTGTTTGTTTGTTATTGTTTTTTGTTTTGGGTTTTGGTTTTTCAAGACAAGGTTTCTCTGTGTAACAGCCCTGTCTGTCCTGGAACTTGCCTTGTAGACCCGGCTGGCCTCGAACTCACAGAGATCCACCTGCCTCTGCCTCCCAAATGCTGGGATCAACGGTGTTTGTCACCGCACCTGGCTGTAGGTTTGTTTTTTTTTTTTTTTTGAAACAATGTCTCTAACCCAGGCTGACCTCAAATTTGATATATAGCCAAGGTTGACCTTGAACTTCTGATACTGCCTGTACCTCCCAAATGCCGGGTTTACAGGCATTAGCTACCATGCCCAGTTTTATGTGACCCTGGAGGTGGAATACAGAATCTCCTGCACTTTGGACAACTCTGTCAACTGAGCCACACCCCCAATCCTATTTTCTGTTTCCTTTGAGACAGGATCTCTCTATGTAACCCAGGCTGGCTTTAAAATTATACTTCTCCAACCTCTGTCTCCCAAGGGCTGGGATCACAGAACCACCATACACGGCACAGTTAGTGTTCTTATGCCCATCTCCCAGAAGGGCAGGCTGAGGCGACTAGAGGTGACACATCCCATCAGAGAGCAGCCTGCCTCAGCCCCAGAGCTCCACTGCCCTTCCTTTTGCTGGGTTGGAAGAGCCGTGAGGACTTCCTTTGGGCAGCATGAAGGGCAAGGGAGAAGAAAGAAGTCGAATGTGGACGACCTGAGAGCACCTGCCGATGGTGACACCAGCTGACGCAGAGACGAGAGCCTGGAGCAGATCTCAGCCACGTCTCACCTTCGCCCTGGCAGCCGCTAGCTAGTCCAGCTGCTATATTCACATTTCCTAGGCACAGGGAGGCCAGGTGCAGTGATGGAAAGCTGTTTGCTCAAGGCCACAGAGCAAGGTGAACGTGTCTGGTCCTAGAACGTGAGCCTCGTGCTTTTCCATTGGCCACAGCCATTTTACCCCCATTCACCAGGGCCGCTTTCCTGAAGCAGTGTTCCTTACACCTGAGTTGAGGCTGGCCCCTGGCCCCTAGGCTCCAGGCTGGAGTCTCAGATTAAGGGGGTCTGAGTACTGATTAACCCAGCTGTTGCAATAGCTCTGACCTTTAGGATAGTCTCTAGCATAGGCCAGTCTCTCGTGTCCAGGATGACCTAGAGGGTTCCGTCATGTCCACCCCACCCCTACTGTGCTCCTTACCAGGCTGTCCCAGCCAGCACCTCCACCCGCTCCCACCCCAGCGCCTCACCTTCTGCAGAGTGTGGCGGGGCAGCTGACTGCACGGGCCGAAGACAGGACCATGGTCCTTGGTTGTGAGCTGCTCCAGCTGGGCGCGGAGCTCCTGCTCCTCCTCAGGGACCATTCGGAATGTGCCCACCTGGGCAGAAAGGAGTCATGTCGAAGGAAGGATGGCTCTGCCTGCCCCCCCCCGCCCCCCCCCATGCCCCCAGTAGCCAGAACCACTGGCCTATGGACCTGCTGAGATCTTGCATAGTACCTTTGGCCAAGATCTTTGCTAAGCCTCCTCCCTTTGATGGATCGGGACCCCAGAGAGATTGCCAAGGTGTAGGGAGGAAGGGGACCAGGGAAGAAGACCCCAGGCTACTCACCCCCTCTGACATATTGCCTCTCGATGACACTGAGGAAAAAGAGAGAACGCGTTTGCTCTGCCCTGGCCTCTCCAGGTGGCCTGTCCCCAGCAGCCAAGGAAGTCAGGACTGCAGTGATGTTGGAGAAACCTTCTGTGTTTGGCCTAGAACCTCAAGCACCCGTGTCCTTCCCAACAGCTAGATGATTGGCAGAAATTCAGATGCATGCATGGGTCCTGGCCCCTATGATTCTAACTAGCGGGCTAAAATTAGAGGGCCCCCCTTTTCCCACCCAGCTCTGAAGGGAAAGGTCCCTGGGCTACACTTTGGGAACACTGCATTTGGAAGGAGCACACCACTAATACCCTACTCTTCAGCTGTGGCTAGCCAGAATTGGGCCCCATTCTCAGCTACAGGGTCAGGTCACTACAATGTAAGGCAGTTTCTCTTCCTTTCTGCAGCCTTCCTTGTCCAGCACAAATGGGCACCCCAGAAACCTCTCAGCCCAGTGGATGGCTCTATCCCCAGTGCATTCGTTCTTAGGAGCCATGGTGAGCCATTAGACCATCAGTCCTGAGTGTGTGCTCAGAGCTACGTGACACACTAAGAACTTCCAAGTTCATTATCTCAGAGACAGGCATGGTAACGCCATTCCTCTTTTATCTAAGGGAAAACAGGGCCGGGGAAGTAAGTGACTTCTCCGAGGTAGCATAACCCAAGGAAGCCGGGGATTAGGAGATATACCTGAGCTGTGACTCCTGTAAACAGCAAGGAGCAGCTTGGGGCAGCTGGATCTGGGACCCGGGTTCGAACCCTGTCCCTCACAGTTGCAGATTGTGTGATTTCTTGACTGCCCCCTGTTGGGATGGAAGGGTTACGAGATGTAATTAAGTAATGTACACACACACAGGCAGCCCTGGGCCACCAGAGCGGGTTTCAGTCATGGCTCACATGCTCCCAGGTTTTCCCCTCCCAGGCCTACGTGTCCCCAGTGACTGTGAGGATCTCTAATCACTCTGTTTCTACCTGCCACCAGGTTCCATCAGTCAGCTCAGCCCCTCATAGTTGGTGAGTAGCTGGGACTTGAACCTGTGTCTCCCTGACACTGAGTCTGTGTGATGCTTCCAGCCATGTCGTCTCTGTGCAAACTCCCCGGGGAGCTAGTGACAGAAACCTTGTAGGTTGGAGAGGTCTGGATTTGAATCTGGCTTTTCCCACCTGTGTGACCACAGGCGAGTTATTTAATTTCGTCGGAGACCGAGAAGCACATTGAAGACGATAGCAGCCACCAAAGGTGACTGTCACAAAGACCACAGGGTTTCTATGACACAGCCTAGAGTGGAGCCTTGCTCTGCAACAGAGTCCCCTCTCCCTTTCTTCTAGTCACACTGAAACTTGAGAGTCCCGGAGAATATCTGAGGGTCTCCCACATTTTGAATCTGTCCCTACCACAGCCCTGCAAGGACAGGGGATTCTGGGGGCTGGAGTCTGCCCATAGGAACCAAGTACAAGCCAACTTTTTGGAAAGCAGACAGACATCCAAATATGTGAGCATCAGGACCAAGAGCCGAGTATAGTGGCACACACCTAGAATCCCAGCACTTGGGAGAGAGAGGCAAGGAGATAGAGGCTAAGGTTATTCTTGGCTATATAGTGAGTTCAAAGCCAGCCTCTATCACAAAAAAACTAAAAGTGAGCCGGGTGGCGGTGACACACACCTTTAATCCTAGCACTTGGGAGGCAGAGCCAGGTGGATCTCTGTGAGCTCGAGGCCAGCCTGGTCTACAGAGTGAGATCCAGGACAGGCACCAAAACTACATAGAGAAACCCTGCCTCGAAAAACCAAAAAACCAACCAAACAAACAAATAAGCAAACAAACAAACAAGGTGATGCATGTCTTTAATTCCAGTACTTGGATCTCTGAGTCTGAAGCTAGCCTGATCTACATAGAGAGTTCCAGGACAGCCAGGGCTACAGGGAAAGCCTGTCTCAAACAAACAAACAAACAAACAAAACAAAAGAAAGCAAAGCAAGACGTCTGAAGAACTCAAAAATTAGTGGATACCCCTAGCCAGAGAAGCAGATCACCAGCACAAGACCCAGACCTTAGAAATATAAGGTTGAAGTTGGCACAGAGAGGCAATTATCTCTTTTTTTAAAAGCACTTATCTATGAGCTGTAGACATGTATGTAATGAAAACATGCTCCCCCCAGCTCCACATCGATATTCTCTGCCATTTAGAATTGACAAATAAAATACATATTAATTACAAATACAGGACATAAAAAGTATTTGATCATCTGCAGTCCTAATTGAATTGGGCACTCCACATTTATATGTGCTGAGTCTGCCTGTAGATCGGTCTGGCTCACACCACTTTACAGATAGGTCTGGCTCACACCACTTTACAGGCAAACGGAGCAATCTGAGAATGGTGAACCCACCCCACCTCTCACTAACACACTGTCTTATGCTCCCTGGCCAGGCCTTGTTACTAACTTACCTGACAGCTCTTCCTTGGGGCTAGGGCGCCTGAACTGTTCTGGCGCTCTGGAGGCTGCCTCCTTTGGAGGTGTGGTCAGGTCAGCAAGCTCGGATTAGTGTGTCACAAGGAACTTCTCAGGCCCACTGTTTCCCATTAAATCAGGCTCACAGGAGGCCCCGAGTGAAACAAGCGAAGTGTCCTGAGGGAGAGGGGAGAGACCCAGCCTGCAGACAACCATCAAAGCCCTGCTTTGTGAGCTTCTGCTTGGAGCTCTGTTCAGCCATGTGGAAGCCGCTTCTCTGGGATCTGAGCCAGCCCCATCCCATGCCCCTGCCCTCTCTCTTCTCAAACTGGGAGGCAGGGGAGCCTGGGAGAGCACTCCCTCCCCACAGAGGGGAGGACATATAGAGAAATAAGAGAAATCGTAAATGTGAGCACCAGTGCCATCCAGCCCTATGGTCCACTTCCCACATGCAGAGGGAAGCTGAGCAGGGGAGGACCTGCTGTGTATCCTAAGCCGGCCCCAACCCACACCTCCCACTCTTTTGAATATGTTCGTGGGTCGCTGAGGATTGCACCAGGGCCTGACACATGTAAGAACTCTATTTCTAAACCACACCCTCGGACCCCCGCCTCCTTTCATTTTACGCAGCCCAGGGAGGTTTTGAACTTCTGATCCTCCAACCTCTCAAAGGGGAGGAAAACAAGTGTGCTCTGCTCCAGTAGGTCCCCCTTGCCCACTCTCCAGTCCTTGCTCCATCCCCTTTCTGGAGGTTACTTCTCCGCCTCCTCTAGAGAACCAGGCTGGGGCTGTGGGGAAGACCAAAGAGGGCCACACAGCACCCCCTTCAGGTGCCTGATCCCTGGGAAGTGTTCCGGAGAGCTAGCAGCTGTGCCCAGTGCAGAATCAGTGGGCACCTCGGTGAAGGGAACATGTCCGACCCCCAGGGCAGCCAGGAACTCTTGAACAGCCCTCAGCAGGGGACACCCAGCCTCTGCCTTAATATTGCACCGGGGTATGAGGGGTGCAAGTCCTTTAGATCATTCTCTGCAGGGGATTCCAGAGTCACGGAGCTCCCTACTTCCACCACTGGGAAGCTCTCTTTAATTGAGCTCACCTGAGTCTGAACCCAAGCAGCCCGCCTTTGGTCCTCTCTCCTAGAGGTGGTGCTCAGGGCAGGGTTGAGTACCTGGACCCAGGTCATTCTCTGGAATCTAGCCACCGAAGGGTTTTTGATCTCACCACAGCTTGGGGCTTACACAAGAAGGACCATGTGTAGACACGGAAAGAAGACAAAGCTACCCACACGCTAAGGAGGTGACATCACTGGATATCACCTTGGTCTCAGATCACCAGCTTCCCGGATTCTAGAGAATGAATTTCTGTTGGCTGTGGCAGTTTGTGATCCCCAAGGAACTTCACTGGATGTGAGGCTCACCGGGGATGATAAGAATAAGGGGCCAGGCTGCCCCCTGAACTGCTAAGAGGCTCTGTCAGGACTGAATAAAGGGCTTCATTATGAAACATCCCTGTATACCAAGAGCGCTGTGAAGTCCGTAACATGGCCTAATAGAAGAAGGCTGTTTAGAGCATCAGTTCTCTAAACAGAGTATGGGCCATGATCCCTTTGAGGGGGAGGTCACATATCAGATATTTACATTACAATTTGTAACAGTAGCAAAATTACAGTTATTATAAGTCGCAACGAAATAATTTTATGGGTGGGGGTCAGCACAACATGAAACTGGATTAAAGGGTCACAGCATTAGGAAGGCTGAGAACCACTCGCCTGGAACATCTCAGGACACCAGCAGGCACGAAGCCCATCTGGGGAGGAAGAACCACAGCACAGATTTCTGATCGCAGCCCTTCTCCTGCCCCCTCCTGCCCTCCTCCCATCCCAAGAGTCCTGTTTACCTCCAGCTCCTCTGGCTAGAACAATGGTGGCCCTGTCCTCATTGGCCCACAAACCTATGCTGGGTACTGGCACACACCCTTGGGCTCTCTGGCCTGCCTGGCCCCAGCTGACGGAAGACAGGGAGGGACGGGGGCTTGCATTTGTAGGGTCAGTGTATCAGTGTGAACATCTCTCAGTACGTTTCTGTCAGGAGCAGAACCAGATGGACATGCTGGTGTCAAAATTTATCGAGTAAAAATAAAAATCACAGCTTTGCTGGCTGCAATTTCCCAGGTAATTTCAATTTTGCTTGAAAAGTTGGCCATAGACAATCATGAGAATTTTATTCCAACCTTAATTACCAATATTAACCCTTAGATCTCACACACACACATATATGTGTGTATATACATAGATATGTATGTATATATACATGTATATAACAGAATGGCCATGAAAGGGTTAAAGAGGCTGCAATATTCAGAAAGGTGTTCAGTAAGTCTTAGGAACCCAAGGGCAGAACTGTTCTGAGGCCCAGGTGTCAGACCCAAGTTCAGGAAGCTATTTAAGGGTCAGTTTGAAGTGGGATCTCATGGGCACAAGGGAGAGTGAGCGGGACCTGAGGGGCAAGGTCAGAAGACAGTCACTGGGACAGTTTTCCGGGGTGAGGACTGTAACGAGTGGTTGAGTGACATGGTGGCCACATGCTGATCTTGGGGTGCTCTTCTTTTATAGCCCCAGATGAGGGGGTTCCCTCTGGTGTGGTGACGTGCTCACGTGGCTGGTGTGGCTGGTAGGATCTGCTCTGTTTTCCAGGTGTCATTATTGATTGGCACTAACAGATGATCAGTTTGTGTTTCTGGGGCACCAACAGATGGGGGTGATCTTTCAACCAACATTTGTTGAGTGGCTACTACGTTTGACACTGGGAATCCAGAGAAGAATGAAACACTGTCCCTGAAGTTTACTAGATCAAGATCATACACAAAATAATTATATAACAATACAGTACTGGCTTTAGACGCCCCCACCACAAAAGGAACAGCACGTGATGTGACAAGACACGATCCAAAATGAGTAATGTGATAGTATCCTCAAGTGTTCCAGAACACACACAACTGCAAAAACTCCACACACAAAAAAAATGAGTTTGCGGCTGGGGGGATCTTCGGATTACTAGGTTTGAAATACGTTACAAACAATGTGTTCTTCTAAGAAACTACCAATGAATGTAAATAATGTAAAGGTTCTGAAAAGTCCCGAAGTAAAGAAATCCTTTTCAAAACCTCTACAGTCCTTAAAGTGCTTTCCACCCAAGCATGAGGACCTGGGGTTATCCCCAGAGCACATGTAAAAAGCCACTTGCAATCCCAGCAGTGGAGAGGAAGAGGCAGGATGGGGGCTGGGGCTCACAGATGGACCAGCCTAGCCTTACTGGCAAGCCCTAGGTCCTGATGCAAGACTGCCTCAAAACAATATGGAGAGCTGTGCCGAGGAGCAAACAGCTGAGGTTGACCTTTGGTCTCCACATGCACATGCATGTGAATATACACGAACAGGCTGTAGGGAACAGAGGTCCACAAGGGCCAGTTTATGTTTAGACAACATGGTGAGGACACGGATATCCTGCATGGACCAAGATGTAACAGAGACCTTAGCACAACTGACTTCATGGTGGACGTGCCATTTAGGCTGTAAAACTCAGCACTTAGCAGGTCCATAGTTCTGGGAAAGTCTCTAAAGTTCTAAACTTGCTTTTTGGCTTCTGAAGTTCCACTTCTGGCTAACTGTTCTTGTTAACTGAAGTGTGTCAACCCAGAACATGGTTTTTGTGCTTAAAAGCTCACTCTGAGAAAGGCTCAGGGCTACACTGGGATCCCCAATACCTAATGTAGTCACTAATAAAGACTTTCTATTGGCTTAAACCCATGTCCGAGCAGTCTTCTCTGGTGAATACCCCACAACAAAGATGGCTAACATTGCATATGTGTGTGGTGGGGGAGCTCTGAATCAGCACAAAATAGCTGATCCCAGATGTCTAGGGGTACGTGTGCCTGCATGCCACATGACACCTGTAGAGACAAAGGACAAATTGCCACAATCAGTTCTCTCTCTCCTTCTACATGCTACAACATGGATGCACCTTGACATGATATTCCTGAATTTTCATTCTGCTCTTCTCCATTAATTAATCCATCAAAACTGCTTTGGCCAAGAACACGGCAGCTTTCATGTTCTAAATCTGGCTTCTTTGCCCACTGAGCCATTTTGCCAGCCCAATAATTTGATTTCTTTTTTAACATTAAAACTTTGTTTAATTTTATGTGTATGTAAGGGGGAGGTATGTGCATGGACAAGTACCTGAGGAGTCCAGTGAGGATGCCCTGGAGCTGGAGTTACAGGCAGTTATTAGCGGTCTGAAGTGAGTGCTGGGAACTGAACTTGTATGCTCTACAGGAACAGCAAGCACTCTTAACAGTTGAGTCATCCCTCCAGCTCCCACTTTTAATGTACAGAATACTGGGTGCCAGGCCTGAGCCAGGAAGACTATTGTGGTGGTTTGAAAGAAAATGGTCCCCAAAGGGAGTGGCAATATTAGGAGGTGTGGCTTTGTTGGAGTAGGTGTGGCTTTGTTGAAGGAAGTGTGTCACTGTGGGAGTGTGCTTTCAGGTCTCCTATGCTCAAGCTACTCCAAGTGAGTCAGATCACTTCCTGTTGCCTGTGAGATGTAGGACTCTCAGCTACTTCTCCAGCATCATGTCTGCCTGCACACTGCCATGCCCCACCATGATGATAATGGGCTGAACCTCGGACATTGTAAGCTACCACCTCAATTTAATGTTTTCCTTTATAAGAGTTGCCGTGGTCATGGTGTCTCTTCACAGCAATAGAAACCCTAAGACAGCTGCTTTATGACAACCTGCTCTTACTAGCCCGAATCTAGCACAAAACATACAGAGAGGAACCCTAGAAACCCTAGTGGTGTGCAGGTATGCCCAGCCCCAAAGAGAGGTCCACAGAAGATTAAACTTACCCACTTCAAGTTTACAGTGTAACTGATGTTACAGGCTTGTAGATATGGAGCCAGGATGACGTCATCCCTCAGATGAGCCTCATTAGAAGAATTACAGCATCAGGCATGAAGTGGGAAAGCAAACCTTCAGTCTAAGGAGAGCGGCATTAGGAGAAACGGCCACGAATGTAGGTCCTGAAAGGACCTTCAAATGCCTTCATATTCCAGAATGGTAGAAGAGTTACAGCATTACACCATAGGCAGCCGAGAGAGAGAGAGAGAGAGAGAGAGAGAGAGAGAGAGAGAGAGAGAGAGATCAATTCCAGAAAACAAAGGGAATTTCTACCTCTTAATAGGTTTTCAGAGGGGTAAGGTAAGTTCCACATCACTTGATGTAGCTTACACACCATGAGTCAAGAAGGAGTCAAGCACTTGACAAGAGTTATAGACAAGGTTATCTAGGGTCTGGGCACCAGGGTGCAGCTGCAGAGCCCAGGGAGAGAAAGCGATTCTTGCTGAGAGCTGCAAGGTCATAGCATGTGCTGCTTATCAACCCCCCAGGGAGAGCTGCAGCAGGCCAGGACCTGACTTTGAGGACAGAGAGCTGCTAGAGGACCCCGTGAGGATCAGACACCCACCAGATTCACAACATGAAAGCTGCCATATTCTTGGCCACAGCAGTTCTGTGGATTCATGGAGAAGAGCAGAAGAATGGAAACTCAGGAACATCACGTCTTCAAGGTTCACCCATGTTGTAGCACGTGTCAGAATTTTCTTCCTTTATAAGACTAGATAATAGTCCCTTGAGGGAATAAACTATATTTTAGTCATCTACGCACTGGGTGGAAGACTTCTGGTTGGTTTCTACTCTTGGTATTGTGAAAACCCTGGTCTGATAATGATCTGAATATGGGTATGTTGATATGTCTCATAACTATTTTTTTTAAAGATGGGATATGTAGGACAGGATCTCACATAGCCCAGGATTTGTGACTGAGGTGACTTTGAACTTGCGATCCTCCTGTCTCCACCTCCAGAGTGCTGGGATTACAAGTGTGTGACACCACATCCAGTGCTTCCCACCAGGAAAACAATGGACTAAACTTCTGAACTGTAAGCCAGCCCCAATGAAATGTTTTCCTTATAAGAGTTCCCGTGGTCATGGTGTCTCAGCACAGCAATAGAAACCCTAACTAAAACAGTTGGTACCAGGGACTGGGATATTGCTGTGAGAGGCCTGACCATGTTTTTCTTTGGAGGAATGTGGACTTTGGGACTTTGGGTTAGGAAAGCAGTGGAATGTTTTAAGTGCTGCTTAATGGGCCATATTGGCAGGAACATGGAAGGCAGTGGTACTGAGGGCGATTTGAACTGTGGGGGCCTGGCTCAAGAGATTTCAGAAGGGAAGGATTATAGTATGTGAGCTAGAGATAGTTTTCATGATATTTTGGTAAAGAATGTGGCTTCTTTTTGCCCTTGTCTGAAGAGTCTGCTTGAGGCTAAAGTGAAGAGCTTTGGATTAATTCCATTGGCAGAAGAGATCTCAAATGAGTCTGGCATGGACTCTGTTGTGTGGTTATTAATGTTCACTCTTAGGCAGATTTATAATGAAAAGGAGCAAGATGAGCAAGGAAAAATACAAAATGTACAGTTTAAGGAGAAAGGGGGCACCTGGAAATGGAATGGGGCTAAGTCCTGTGTTCAAGGAGATAAACAGATTAAAGAAAAGCCTGATGGTAAATGGAAAAAGGGATCTCTCAGGGCAAGATCCCACCCAGTTAAGCTTCCAACTTGTGAAAAGGAATTAAAGAAACCTTATAGCCAGGTATGGTATGCATGCCTTTAACCTCAGCACTCCAGAGGCAGAAGCAGTCAGTCTCTGGAATTTGCAACCAGCCTGGTCTACAGAGCAAGTTTCAGGACATCCAAGCTTAGGCACTGAAGGAAACCATTGAAATCAGAAAGCTGGTGAAGATGTAATTGAACAAGGGGGTTGTATTCCAGCCTCAGCAAGCAGGAGAACTTGGCAGCTTCAGCTATGTGGTGTTGTGAAATAATCCTCTTGTACACTGTAAAGATTTGTCACTTAAATTGGTTTAATAAAACACTGATTGGCCAGTAGCCAGGCAGGAAGTATAGGCAGGGAGACCAAACTAAAAATGAGGGAAGAGGAAGGGCGGATTCGGGAGTCACAAGCCAGATGCAGAGGAAGCAAGATGAGAATGTCATACTGAGCAAAAGGTACCAAGCCATGTGGCTAAACATAGACAGGAATTATAAGTTAATTTAAGTGTAAGAGCTAGTTAGTAATAACCCCGAGCTGCTGGCTGAGCATTTATGAATAATATAAACCTCCATGTGGTAATTTGGGAAGCGGCTGCTGGGTATTTGGGAGTTGCTGGCGGGACAGAAACTTCCAATTATAATGTGGTTCTGGTTTTAGAGTCAAGGACAGAAGAAAGGGGCTATGGAATTTGCCTCCTGGACTAAGAGAAGCTGCTGAGGCCAGGCATGTGTCAGGGGTGTCCCTGTATGGAAACCTAGAAAGGCCATTGTGTGAAGCTGTGAAAGTGAAACATGGATTGCCTTAGAGACCCCAAGATGTTGGAGATGCCAGAGCCAGGGAATCTCTGCTGAGGAAAACTGCTAACAGGAAGTGGAATCAGCCCAAGAGAAAGAAGTGTGTTGGGGTCAACAAAGCTGAACATAATTGGAGATCTGAAGAGAGTTTTCACATCAGACATGGAGCTGCAGAATTTGGAGTTTGCCCAGCTGGTTTTTGGTCTTGCTTTTGTCCAGTATTTCCTCGATATACTCCCTTTCCTCCTAGAATGGTAATGTATATCTTGTGCCATTATATGGAATGTGATTGGAAGTATGTGATTGACTTTTTCATTTGATTTTACAAGGGATTACAGTTAGGAGATTGCACAAATCTCAAAAGAGCTTTGAACTTTGGACGTTTAAACAAGTTTGAGACTGTTCTGGACTAGGGGAACTTCTGAAGTTGGACTGAATGCATTATGTTATGGCTACAAGCCTATGGGGGTCAGGGAGTGGAATGTGGTGGTCTGAATAGGAATGGCCCCCATAGACCCATGTGTTTGAATACTTGGTCCATGGGGAGTGGCACTACTAGGAGGTGTAGCCTTGTTGGAGTAGGTGTGGCTTGGTTGGAGGAAATGTGTCATTAGGGGGTGGGCTTTGAGATCTCAGAAGCTCAAGCCAGCTCACTTCCTGCTGCCTGCAGATCCAGATACAGATCTCTCAGCTCCTTCTCCAGCACCATGTCTGCCTGCACACCACCATGTCCCACCATGATGACAATGGACTAAACCTTTGAACCAACTGAAGTCAGCCCCAACTAAAATGGTTTCTTTTATAAGAGTTGCTGTGGTCCGGCTAAGCACTGGGCCAGGAGGCTCCTGGAGTCCAGTTGAAGAGAGGGAGGAGGGTTTGTATGAGGGGGGGGGGGTCAAGAGCATGATGGGGAAGCCCATGGGAACAGCTGACCAGAGGTAGGCCCTCTGAATGTGGGTGACAGTGGTGTGGCTAGATCTATTTGTGGGCCCCTGGCAGTGGGACCAGGGTTTGTCCCTGGAGCATGAACTGGCTTTTTTGGGTCCATTCCCTAAGGTGGGATGCCTTGCTTGGCCTGGTGTGGGGGTGTGGGGGTGTGGGGGGTTGGTCCTGCCTCAGCTTGGTATGCTGGATTTTGTTGATTCCCCGGGGAAGGTTTTGTCCTCTCTGGGGAGTGGATGGGGGGTAGGGTAGTGGGAGTAAGAGAGGGGGAAGGGGTGGGAACTGTGGTTGGTGTGTGGAGTGAAGGAAGAATAAAAAAAAAAAAAAGAGTTGCTGTGGTCATGGAATCTCTTCACAGCAATAGAAACCCTAAGGCAGCGGTGCTGGGGATGGAATCTGGGTTTTCATGCCTGCTGGGCAAGAACACTTCCAATGGAGCCACACACCCCTCCCCATTGCATTTTTGTAACGTTTGAGATTGCTGCAAGTCAACACTGTTAAGTGTGGGCTCTTGACGTTTCCGTGCCGATCCTCTCAAGTGGTGCTGCTCTTCAGCCCAGGTTACTGAAGATTCTGGGCTTCCAGCAAGTGCCCCATTGGCCCTTCTCTGGTCATGCCCTTCCCAGAGTTCAGGGAACTGGAAAAAGTGCCCACCAGCGCCCACATGTCCTCTTTAGAACATGTTTTCGGTACCTCCTTAGACATCCTCAAGGTTGCCGCCAACCCATGCAGGCCATCCTCTGGGGTCCATCCTCTGCAGAGTGGGCACACCAGTGTGTGAGGCGCTGTGGGTGGCCAAGAAGCGGCTCTGTGGAGAAGACAGGTGGCAAACCTTCAGGGTGGGTGTCCACAGTAGGTGCACCCCGTCCCTTCCATAGCAGGAATATCGGCAGTCCTCCGTTCAGACTGTTTCTCTGGACCCTCACCGTGCTCATTCCTGCTAGGCTCTCCTGCACGCTGGCTAACCTTGAAAACACTTGTAATTCCACTATCGTAAACCTGCTCTCAACGGGCTCCATTTCTTTTTTTTTTTAATATAATTTAATTAATTTATTTATTTCAGTCTTTCCAGGCAGGGTTTCTCTGTGTAACATCACCGGCTCTCTTGGAACTCACTCTGTCGACCAGGCTGGCCTCAAACTCACAGAGATGTGCCTGCCTCTGCCTCCTACTCAGGATTAAAGGTGTGCACCACCACCACTCAGCTCTTTTTTTTTTTCTTTTTTTAGTTTTTAATTTTTGGTTTTGAGACAGGATGTCACTATGTCACACCCCATCTTTCTGCATCAGCCTCATCCCAGCTGGGATGATAGACATGTGTCGCCATACCTGGTGCTGGCTATATTTTCTAGTGTTGGCCACATCACTGGCTCTCCTTGTACGTGCAACCAAGCTGCTTTTTGGTGAGCACAAAGTCGCTGTGCACAACCAGGAGATGGAGGAACACGGAGATTCATATTTGCAGCAAGTAAGGAGCCCACGGGGGGATCATTCCCAAAGCAGTGTCTTCCCCAGGAAGCACAGGAGCATGCACTGGGCAAACTCATACATATTCATGCAGGAAAGACATCATCACAAATACAGGCCAGAGGACAACCTCCGGTTCCATTCCTCAGGCTCTATCC